AAAACCAGAACCTACCTTATACCATATTCAAAAGTGGACTCTAGATGAATTAAAGACCCAAATGCAAAAGGTAAAACTATAGAGTAAAAGAATCTTTATGATCCAGGATAGGAAAAAAGAAGATTCTGAAAGCACAAATGATAAGGCAAGAAAGTGATGATTTTAGCTCATCGAAATGATGATTCCCTTGGGAGAATCATTAAGTAAAATACAGTAGGCACATCCCATGGTGCCCTTGGCAGCAATTAGAAGCAAAGCACTAATACACACAGCAATACAGACAGATCTTAAAAATGTAGCACTGAGAAATACAAAGTTTAGGAAGCAGAACAAAGACTTTAGCACTATGCCATTTGTTACATTGAAAACACAGACACTCAAAAAAAAAAAAAAAACCCACCTACATATTTTAGAAGGATATATATCAAACACCACAGGGCAGCTGCCCACAGAGGTATGAACTGGGAATAAAAACAAAAAAATAAACATAGCAAGAGGAGGCCTTGTGCTGACCAATGACAGAAACTTACCTTGAACTGGAAAGTCTGATCAACTCAAACCTCTATATTTGAGGTCCTTTAAAACCAAAAGAAAGCCAGTGGCTTTACTTGGTGATAAAGTCTGAAGCAAGTATGTCACCTACTCAAACTCAGAGATGGTCACAGAACATGTCTAGTGAATATTATCCAAAATCGAATGCCTTTCAAAAGACATTTTTTAAAAAGTCAAGACTGAACAACACTAGATGATGACCACATCTCAAATTTGGGCTCACTTTTCAGAAAACAAAATATTATAATTCTACATTTTTAAAAGAAGTGGTAGTAGAAGAAACCTTTTTTGTAAGATATTTTAAAAATTATTTTTTCCCTGATGTTTTATAAATCTATTGACTCTCAATAGAGGCTTTCTGGGAGAGTTAGGTCTGCTTTCCTAAGCAATCTTAAAATATCATGGATAGATTGCCTGCTTCCAAATCTTCTGGGGTGATCCAACAGGATGGCGAAGGATCACGTTATTTTACCCAAGACCTCTGTATTTTACCCAGTGTCCCAACTGCTTCTTGTTCATACCAGAGTTGAAAAAAATAACTGTACGAGAACATCCATTCCAAGACAAGTACATGCCAAATGCAGCCCACCCTGGAGTCTCCCACTATCTGACCCGGCTTGCTCCATACTTGTCCTGGGCAAATTCCTGACTTTGAAGGCACCATTCCCACACATCCCTTAAAGCTCAGGCTACAGCCCTGACTTTGACCCCGGCCTCTGCCTCTCCTCTTCCTCCTGCAGTGGCTGCCTTCACCTTGGCGAATGATACCACATACCTATCTGGGTCACCGAAGCTGGAAACCTGGGCATCAGCCTCAATCCCTCCCTTTCTCTTCATCCCTTCCCACCCTCACACCCAACCATGGTACCCATCCAGCTGTTTTGTAACCACCTGTAAACTGTGTGGTCTCCCACGTGAGACCCAGTACTGAGAAGGCTACAGTCTTATCTGTCTCATTCATCACTGCACTCCCAGAGCCTAACACAGGTCCCAGATCACAACAGGTGTCAAATACATGTCTGCCGAAAAGAAACCAATCATCTGCTGCGTTGTTTCCTCTGCCTGGAAGCCATCTCCTTGTACCTCCCTGGATCAGTTCTCACACAAGGACAAGCCTAGGCTGCTTGGGAGAGGTGGGACTGGATAACTCACCGTCGTTCATACTCCATGTCCTGATAGGGCCTGCGGGGGCTGCGGGGGCCCCTCCTCAGCCGCTGGCTCCGTTTCACTTCCCAGCCACCCCCACTGCTGCCACCATGATCTGCCAGTCTGGGTGATGCCTCCTGCAGGGACTCTGGGGAGAGTGGAAGGAAGAAAGGGGTAAAGGCAGTTGGGGCAGAGAGGGCCTCCTTGAGAAACCCTCATTGTCAAGGCTCAGCCCAGGGTCACTGTTTTCCAACTCCTAGTGCTCCTGTGGATCAGAGTGGGAAGGCAGCCCCTGCTTGGCCTGCTCCTTCCTTTCTCCACAAACACGAGGCTAGAGCCCACTGCCCTAGAAAACACAAAGGCTTTCATCTGACAGGAGGCATCCTGCAGAGAACTGGTGGGGCCACCCACTGTGGGATCAGGGCTTTACCATCTGAGACTGGTAGACAAGTTCAAGCCTGGGGTTGCCTGCTGGGGAGGAGGGGACTCCCAGTGCTAAATGACTTGCCTAAGATTAGGCACATTAGACAAGGAAGCAAGACTTCACAACAACTGGGAGTCCCAGGCACCTACCAGGCTCCTTCCATGGGCCCCAAAGTACCATTTCATCCTCCCAATAAGATGCTGGGTGCCCCCTACAAGGCAGCAGGAGACCACGAAGGCCCTTGGGGGGGGTGTTAAGGGGCTAACTTGGCAATGAGACAGCTGCCGCCTCCCTGGGCTGGAGGCCAACACAGACTCTGCCCTCACATGGCTGCTGGGTCAGTCCTAAGCCCTGTCTCTTATGTGCAGCCGGGTCCCAAGGTGGCTCTCTCTCCAGGGATCTGAGCCCAAATATTCCAGGATATATCCTAGAATCTTCAGGCCCCACCCTCTGAACAGGAATCAGGTAAAGCCAGGCAGTAACAGCACCTGCCCAACACTAGGTTGCTACCACACCTTTCCTCCGTGTACACACACCAATTTTCTCTTCCTCCTCAATCCCCAGGGAACCAGAGTTATCTGCTCTCAGATGGGTAAGAGAATCACAGCCAGGGGCCCCAGTGGCTCAGAGCCAGATATAAAACCCTCAACAGATTGTGGCAAAGGGACTAGAGTCACATACTGGCATTCAACAGAAAGTAGTCAAAGTCACAGACACGAGCTCCAAATAACTAAGGGCCAAAATCACAGAGGGAACCCTCAGTAAGGGCCATAATCACACACTTAGCTCCCTTTCAATGGATGAGCGTCAGTGACACAGATACAAACTCCACCAAAGAAGGGGCGCTAGGGCCGGCCCGTGGCTCACTCGGGAGAGTGTGGTGCTGATAACACCAAGGCCACAGGTTCGGATCCCATATAGGGATGGCCGGTTCGCTCACTGGGTGAGCGTGGTGCTGACAACACCAAGTCAAGGGTTAAGATCCCCTTACCGGTCATCTTTTATAAAAAAAAAAAAAAAAAGAAGGGGCGCTAAGTTACACACATTCCTTACCCTCCCTCCCCACACAGTAATTGGGTTAGGGCCAGTCACAAGGCAGCCCCTCCATGGATAAGGACCAG